CTCTCCTCTCCTCAATCTGAGCACAGCCCTCAGCTGCCCTGGCAACAGTCGCCAGAGCCAAATGTGCCTCGGCGATTAGCAACATGGGGACTGTTCTCCGAACGAGGAGAACAATTGAAGACGAACGGATGTAGGCTCGAGTTAGGCCAAATCTGGCATCGTGTTGTCACGGCGACCGCGATGACAGCCCATTGTCCTGACACATGCGCCCAGTTAGCCTCGAGCATGCTGACTGGCGGAGAGTGCATTTTGACGGTGGATCGCTCGACGTTCCTGCGACGTGACTGCGGCCTTCCTGCGCTCTTCTCACTTGGTCCCGCCAGCACAAGCGGAGACGATCACTTGGTCAGCCTCGTGCTGGCCGGTTGCCGTGTCGCCACACCCGAAGCCGGTCCAACGTCTGGTCGAACGTCTGTGCCGAATCGCCAGCATTCTGCGAACAAGGCGGTGCCACTTCCTCGAGGTGGCCTTGACACCAACCAGAAGCAACATCGGATTGGTCTTCGTGTCTTCTGGAACTTTGTTATGACTTTGTCATTGGCCATTTCTGTATGCCCACCCGTCTCTTCGGCCCGGCGTTAATGAGCCCGATTTAATTGCCGGCCTGAAAGGAAGCCTGATTTTGCGTTTACACACGCACATACAAATATGTACACATTCATACATGCATACACACATTTAACAGCGTGACGCGCTCAAAAGAAGGGTCTCTCCGCCGGCCTCGCCTCTTCCACCTGATCGCCACGTCCGGCGAGATTCAAACCACGAAGGTTGTTCGGATCGCAGGCCAACACGCTAGTTATTTTGGTCGCATGGCTGGTCAAGACAAGCTTTTGCCCTGGCAACAGACATGACTTTTCAGGGCACATGGAAACGACGGGGAACCACCTTTACGTCTACTATTACTCTCGACAAACCGTGAAAATCTTAGTTTCGACGGAAGTTGTGTTTAATCAAAATATTCGTGAAGGACGTCCTCAGGAGCAGACACTGACAGAGTCCCTGTTCTTCTCGCGTCTGGTCCAACTCATCCTGCAGAACTTGGCGCCAGTTGCTGGACAGCATCAGAACTGGGCGGCTCTCGAATCGCACTCTCGTGCTTATACTAAGTCAAGGGAGCTAGTTGGGCTAGTCTTTCCTAGCACTACTACTCATTAAACAATCCAAAGAGTAGCAGGTATAGAAAGGCTTCCTCCACCCCTTACGACGTCTGTCTTAATTGCCAAGTCCCTGTGAGTGTGTGCAGTTGTATACAAATAGCTGCTTACATGGGTAGTCAAAGTGTCATGGTGACTATTAATATGGACAGGGTAGAGTGCACGCATTCAATGTTAAAGGAGCTTTGCTTTTCTATGCCCGCGCATGCCTAAGTACATGCACACATACAAACTTGATACATGAATGCATGCATACAAACATGTATAAATACATACATACCAACTTACATACACATATATGCATAAGCACGTCATAGGGAAATAAAGAATTCTTTCTATACCTGCACTCAGTTGAGCTGCAATAAAGCCGAACGTGAAGAGACCAACATAAGGTCAACACACGAATTTCCGCATCGAAGACTTTCAACTGAAAAGTACGTCAATCGGAATTGGTATGCCACAGTGGAAATGTGAGTTGAGGCGAGTCATCCTTGTGTCTTTAGTATCCGCCTCGAGGTACGGATCCGATTGAAGAGGCGAGGTTGGAATGGTAGACATTTTAGAGGCACAGAGTCTTAAACTTGGTAGCAAAGTGTCAAGTCTGCCGTTCACTCTCGAGATGAAGGCAACTCTCCGTTTTTTAAATGCTGTCCTAACGAATAAAAGTGCTCTCGATAAAGACATCAGTTGAAGCGTCGCTTGGCGTCCTCCACCAATTGCCGGCGGAGGTTGACGTCGATGTCCAGCACATAACCTGTCCAAAGAATGACCTTTTGTTAGTGAAAAGTTTGAATAAGAATGAGTGCTGATTGAATTCTCACTAAACTGGCAATCTCGACCTCGTGTCGGCACGTCTAACTGGTAGTAGACTGTCGAGAGTGCTTGTGGATGACAGGACCTCTTTTGAAAGACATTTTTCGAAATAGCCCGTACTACTTATAATCACGGTGAGTAGGTTTCGAGACTATCAGCCAACTATTATTCTTCTTCAAATGAGGATGGGAGCATTAAAGCCTCTCTGACAGCCTCAAGACCCGCCCTGCCGGACTCGAGATACACGCACAAGAGGGATTATTCAACGGTTCTATTCCATTCCAATATTCACAGGCTTTGCATAAAATGGTGGTTTCACTGAGAAAATAGGCCAAAATAAATTATGACAAGGAAACTAGTCTAAACAGGTCGTGTTCCGGGCATCGGCAGTTGTGGCTCCAGATCTGCAGACGAGGCTTCACCTGAAGCTCGTGTCGCGAGCAAGTTTCCCCATTTGGGCAGCTCGTGCAAACGGCTCGTTGCCACCATCTCGTGAGTGAATGGCTTGTGGCTTGAGGCTGTGCAGGCCGGCATGATGACGATGAAGGGTTGGTATGACTGTTTGCATGCCACATGTGAGACAGTGTGTCAGGCGTCGCCTTTTGCCTCTGCTCCTTTTAGCTGAAGCTTGGGCGCACAAACCGACCCTCCTACAACAGATCACATCATCGCGGCACCGCCTGGCAACTCAACGAGTTGATCGCCAACATCGGCCGGCACGCCAAGCTCGAGTCCGTCGAGATGCACCGCATGTCGATGGCCGTGGAGAACGCAGCGCAGGACTACGTCGACGCGTTGGTGGGGGAGTTCGACGCCTACGTGAATCGCTTCATGGAGACGCCCTCCGGCATCGGGTTTTCCGAGCAATCGGAGCGTAAGTCAACCCCGTAGCTGGAAGAGAATGTGGTAGGGTGACGCGATGCCGATTGGCCCGGATCCGAGTCCGGTCCTCCATTGCCGAAGGCCAGATGGGCCGGCTGCCGAGATTCGCGCCGGTCTAGTCACCCACAAGCCGACGACAGAGTCGCTGCTTCACATGCTTCTTGGTTACTTTGTTCGCTCACAAACCATCTCTGCTCTGTCTGCTGAGTCGGCGGTGGTAAAGCCAAATTATACGAGGCATGCCATCACTTGGCA